AGCTAGGAGACAGTTGAAATGGAAATGACTGGATCATGACTAAGAAGTGTAAATTATAAATTATAAGTTGCTTAACCTTGTTTTCACAACTTGATAATATTAGCAAAAAACCTAGAGGAATGCACCTTTTCCGGAGCCCATAGTATGTATGATAATTTCCATATGAACGTTGACTTCGTAAATTGTCAGATGCCTCGCCGGCATTGTAAGCAAGAGTCAATGACGATTCTGGCGAAGCATCTTGGAATGTGCCAAGTCCACGGTCCGACTCTGGAAATTACTATGCATACTGTAGACTCTGGACAAGGTGCGTTATTCTAGGTCTTCCTGGCAATATGACCAAGCTGCGAAAACAAAGTCAAATAAGTTGTATACAATGAAAGGAGACCGCGACAATTCAAAAGGCCACATTATCCTGGTCTTCATACCTTTGAATAAAGTAAATTGCCCAAAACACCAGGAGTGTTAGTAACTTATGAAAAACAACATGAAAAAATGAGGCGCGTAGTATGATTCATGGCTCCATTAGGAAATAAAGCCATAAAGAAGAGATCAATAACGGAATCCCTTAACGAAAATTTGTATCGTAGAATAGAATGATATAAATTCATAGCCTAGAACAAAATGATCATTTACCTAGCTCTTCAATAAATTGATCTCGTAACCTGGCTTCTTTATTAGCCAAAGTGAAGATTTGTGGTCCAGACAAACCATTAGAGCCCGGCCCAGATGTAGTAGGTTCATATGAAACAAGATTCTGCTGATGATAGTGATGAGGGTCCGAAGTGGTGCTAGGTGCAAGGGACTGTTGGTTAGCCACACCATCACGCACCGTCTCGACAAGAATGTAGAGAATTGAAATGATTATGCGCAGATCAATGGTGTCCTTGATATTGGTTGTAGGTGTTTTTTTTGCAGGAGAATCTACAAAAGTTAATATGCAAGGATCTCAGTTGTGAAATTATCTTAAGCCCCAAGCCTAGCAATGCAAAATAACCGAACTGGGACAACTTACAATCAGCTGTTGTTGTGCTTACACAACTCAAATCCCCATCGCCTTCTTGTGCGGCTGCGCCACCAGCTGCGGAAGCAGAGCTTACATCATTCACATTAGAACCATTGTTAGAAGTCCAGTCACTGTACAATAAAAAAATATGTGGAAGGAAAGCTTAAAATAGCTTAGTGAGTCTAGCTTAAAAGACTTTAAAGATTAATAGTAATAAAAACAATACGTTAATTGAATGTAAATATGGATAGTAAATCATTCTCAAAATGGAATCCAGGCTACGCTTTATAGGCCACAGATAAGGAACCTATCCCTAATCACATGCTAGCGAAAATTGCTAAAATTTGTGCTACTAAAGACGGTATAAATGGCTTAAGTAACGAGTATCAAAGACAGAGCACAAATAAAAAGTAGATAAAAAAGTAGTCTAGAAAGCCAGTATTTAAGGTTTATGTATATAGCAATCAACTTACTCGTAATTTATCGCAACAAGTAAAAGGCTGATAGCAGATTGAAGTATGCCGCATTCAATGCATAAATAAACATTGTGACGAGCCCATGTAATCTGATCTTCCTCCAGCTCACATTCACAAAAAACTCCCTAATATTCATAAAATATATGTCAAATTTGTTTAAATTTAAATTAAATAAATTAAGGGCGGCATACCTGAAGGAGGTACAAAAGACCTCGAGAAGCGTTTCTTCGGACACTATAACTGCTAGATTCCAGTTGGTCAAGAAGGCGGATGACATGTGCCTGTCTAGTGCTTTCTTCGGATTCTATCCACTTAGTTGGAGCTAAAACAGAAAAGTATATAAATATGCCACCGAAACGTGTGCATGTAGATAATGAGCAACGTCGAGGTGCGAAATGTAAAATCGACTGACAAGCAGAAACAATTAAAGACATACCGTATTTTGAAAATTCTTGCTGAAAGCAATTCTTATTCAAAAAGAATTCAGGTTCTTCTGTGTAGCAATATAACTCAGCAATCTCAATGCCATATTCATCTGTATCATTGTAAACAAAATCAATATCAGCGCTCTGATCCTCATTAGTCTGAGTATCATGTGTATTAAAGCCCCCTACGAAGTCCTCTTTTTTTAGAATGTCATCGTTAGAATCATCCATCCCAAAAAGATGTGATGAAAACAGAACAGGGTAGGAAAAAAGAAGCCCGCTAGGAATATTTGTTAGATTAAACAAAACCTAATGTACATTAAATAATAAACTTAATTTAGAAAATTTTATTTTATTTTACTAATATTTTAGTGTATGAAAGAGTAGCTGTTACGATATATTTGTCGGTGCATTTTTCTCTAGGGTCTAAATTGTTTTAACGATGTGGACGGATTGGTGATTAGCTTTAGCCCGAATCTTCATTATACTAAGTCAGGAAGCTTATATTGTGGCAAAATATAACAAAATAATAGTATATATGTGAGGCGATAACTTGTTTCTCAAAGGAAAGCGAATGGCTTCAAGACAAATCTCTCTTAGCAGAAGTGTTGCGAATGACTAATTGGTCTATAAAAGCATTCTACTCACTACATATTGTAGAATAAAATACAAAATAAATAAAAATTCTATATATTTTTATTATGATAGAGATTTTTTGTTGTAAATCTAAGACTCACACTCCCTCAATGAAAAGAAGACTGGTCAATAAGTTAAATTAATCATGCGAAGAAAAGTTGTGTTTCGAGGAATCTGTAGTTTCAAAATTGTTAAGCTTACTTTTATTTCGAGTGAAAGTGTTACGTAAAGAGATTTGAAGTTTGGTTCCACCAAAAGACGACAGAGAATTCTTCGTGATCAGCTGTCATTTAGCTTTACTGGAAGATTCATGCTGACGCTGTTTCCGAGGTAATCTCCTTCGATTCCAGTGAAAAAGTACTAAGATTTCGTTGTCATATGACGAACATCATCAGAGCAAGGTATTATCGTCACAGTAAAATTCAAACTAACGAGTCAAGAAAACTCACTGGCTAATCCCTAAAAAGTGGTATATATACTCTACATCCGGCCTCTTTAATCAGGTATAAAGTGATTTAGTTATTTAAAGTCATATGTCAACTTCGATGCCTGTAAGTGTGTCTGTCTCTGTATGTGTATGTGCCTGTTTGTGTTCACTTATGAACAAAACCCGCAGTAAATGTTTAAAGTAATTAGGACAGCAAAAACCAACAGATGTTTGGTTGATCTATTAATTTCGCAAATTCATATAAATTCTTCACTGAATATTTCCAATACTCAGCCAAGTTCCGTAGTTGTCTACATAAGAAACCTGAGATCCTATGCATAACAAAACCCTTGTTATTAACAATCAATCTTAAAGGAACTCCTTTCTTGTGTATTTTCGGAAGGCCGTAAGACGAAGATGCCTTAGCATCCCTCTGAAGAAGTGAATTCATTTTCCAATTCTCAGTTTCTCCTCTGCCTACACAAAGGTCCAGCGATCTTTTAAGTCTGGCCTTAAGTTTTTCTAGGGATTCTTCAGTAAAAGTCTGTAAGTTTCTGAGTCGTTTAAAATCAACCATCATTTTCTTTATAAAACTTAGCCTATCCATGATGGCCACTGCGCCACCTTTATCTGTCTTTAAAACAAATATATCATTTTGGTGCAAATACCTAGAAACTTTATTTAAGTCATTCGATTTCTTTGGAACAATTACCTTATCAAAATAAGGAATCACTTATCTTTCTATACTATTCTTAGCCCCTTCTGGCAGCTTGTCCGTTAAGTTAATTAACTCAGCCAGTATATCCATAAAATAATTTTTCGCATTTGGAAATGCAAAGTTTAAACCCCTTTCCAAGACGAGTGTAGCATTAGCATCGAAAGGTATACTAGATAAATTAATGACTTTATTTTTGCTAGAAAAAATAGTACTAAGTTTAACAACCTCCTTATTGTTTCGACGATTCCTTTGGCTGATGTTGATGCCTAAATTACTTAATTTTTTATCATGTCGGGATCTATGGATCTTATCCATCATATTCGCCAAACCGTCCACCATTTTCTGAAATTTAAGAAAGTCTTCTTTAGAAAATAGCTGAGAAAGGGATAGTCTATTCCTTGTTTTTGTTCTAATCAGGTCACGTAATTTATCTATGCTTTCTTTGAGTCTAGTCTTAACAAAGCCTCTTGATACATACTCCAGTTTCTTATTGGTGCAAATAAATAAATCTTGAAGTCTACCAGGAATACAACATCTATGAACTACATTATGTAAAATAAAAAAATTTTTAAATCTTATAGTATTGAATTGCCAGGATATAGATTTCTTGGTTTTTATATAGCCAGAAGAAAGTTGATAAGAATTCATACCATACGTACGTAATATATGAGAAAGAAAGTTTTGTTTCGAGGAACATCTTGTTTTATAATTGTTAATCCTACTTGGTGAAGAGATTCGAAGGTCGGTTCCACCAGAAGACGACGGTGAATTCCTCTTGATCAGCTGTCGAATGGCTTTACTGGAAGATTCAGGCTGACGCTGCTTCTGAGGTAATCTCCTTCGATTCCGGTAAAAAAGTGAAAGCTTTCGTCCGTCATATGACAAACATCAACAAGGTATAATTATCACAACAAAATGCTAGCGTAAAAACGTAAAATTAGAGAAGCCATAGAAATATACCGAATAGGAAATACATTGAATGTAAGAAATACTGGTAAGAAGATAAGTAGAAATTACTTTTATAGAAGTGGTTTGATCTTGTTTTCGCAACTTGGTCATATATGTAGGAAGATTTAGAGGAACGTACCTATTCCTGAGTCTATTG